CTGCAGTTCAACATCCACAAAGTACTGCACCTGCCACGAAATCTGCACTTCAAGGTCCACAAAGTCTTGCGCCTGCTACGAAATCTGCACTCCAAGGCCCACAAAGTCCTGCACCTGCCACCAACTCTACACTTCCACATCCACAAAGTCCTGCATTTGCCACGAAATCTGCACTTCAAGGTCCACAAAGTCCTGCGCCTGCCACGAAATCTGCACTCCAAGGGCCACAAAGTACTACACCTGCCACGAAATCTGCACTTCAAGGTCCACAAAAAGTCCTGCGCCTGCCACAAAATCCGCACTCCAAGGCCCACAAAGTACTGCACCTGCCACGAAACACGAAAAACAAAAAAAGTAAACAACAAATCATTCCAAAATTAAGTCGCGGCCCCTATAATTCTTGGGAGCTGAAACACCACGAAGTCTCGCGAGCAACGCCCTCAGCGCAGCCGACTGAACCTCCGTCACGGTGAGGCGCTTTGTGCGGCGTCTTAGTGGTGTGGGTGTCACAGGCGCTGAAGTTCTATCGCCAGGACTGGATGGTGGATGTGTTGGGCCGGCCTGGAGCTGGCAGATGAATCATGTTAAATTTGATTGGAGAAGCATTCAAGACAAGAATCTGTGATTCCAAGAATGGGGATTGGAGGCCGATTCTAGTATTCATTCCATAACCATAACTATTGCAAACTTTCAGCAGCATGTTTGCAGCTGGGTCGCCCCCAATGATTGAGACCCGCTTCATCGGTCTATGAAGCCTTCCGTAAAGAGCAGGCCCACCCAGATTGTCAAAGCCCAAGCTCCACAATTGGAAATGGCGTGAAATGCAGAAGCAAGGAGAACATTGCCAATAACATCTATGTATTTGCTGCCCCTGGTCCTCAGAGGCATGCCGTATCGATTGCAAGGCCGTTGCATTCCGTTCCAGCGCCGGGTCATTGAAGTGCCGGAGGCAAGTCTGGCCACCTCTAACCTTGACGGGCTTGAGTTCGAGTCACACATTCGGCTAGCCAGGCTAGCCGAATTCAGAATCAACCAGGCATTTTGCCCTAATTGTAGACAAGGCGGCTGTTCGAAGGTGGCATGGTCGAAGCTTCTGTGACGAAAAGAAGCGCAACTGATCTGAACGGATTTGGAGCGCCGAACGAAGAACAAATCTCCCAACAATGACCACGACCTTGACAATGGCAACTGTTGTGGGGTGAGTCTTGATATTTTCGATATGAACGGTGCTTGGAGTCTCTTGGAGTCTTCGGTACCTGGTGGGTGGCACTGAAGGACCAAGACATCAACCTGAAGGCTTGAAGGGGGAAGCCTGTTTGATTGCTGATTACACCCCTGGTTCACCCCATGTCCCTCTGTCCAGAACCTATAGGCACCCAAGAAAATGGATATTCCAACACATATTAACCATGTGCCAGCAGACTGAAGAAGATACATTCCACATCATTCCACACTATTCCACTTATACTGTCTTATACCACAGAAAATTCACAACGCTTAGCCAGCCCATTGGCCCAACACGAACACTCTGCTTCGGCAGGACTACCCACGATTCATCTCGAGCGCACCTGCCAGCTATGTAGAGATGGAGGATTTGGCGCCGGCCTCCGTCTACTTCGAGGATGGGCTGCTCACCCATCTGGTCAAAAGCTAGGCAGTTCACATTCCTTCCTATGGTGGGACACTGCATGAAGAAGCTCATGAGTGATCTCACAGTTCCAATCTCTTCATGTCTTGGACAGTATCTTGTGTATATTAGCCAGGTTGAGACTCCCAAGTGTCCCCACACATGCATGATGCTGAGACAACACACTCAGTTGGTGTTTTTGTGCATGAGGACCTCTCAGTTTCCTACAAGGTCTCGGTGGTGTCTGACTTGGAACCCGCTCCTTGGCAGGGCAGGTAACGACGGTTTGACCCAACTCGCACCAGGGTGGTTTCTCCGCCCAATGTTGCGAAATTGATGGAATCCCTTCCCCTGCTGCCCCTGGCCCTGGTACAATGGAGTGGTTCTTTTCATTGTTCAATATCTTCAGGATATTCGAGACCCGAAAAGGCACAGGATCTGGGCAGTGGTCGACTTTGCATGAAGCCAGCGCATGTCCAGACTGAACCGGCGGGATTCTTCCAGGGAGAAAATGGGGATTCTTCTGAGTCCAAAAGGAGCAAGCTGGGAGGCGCAGGCCTCCCCAACTTGTTCTCAGCTTTGATGAAAGTTGTAGATTGAAACGAAGATCTCCCACTCAAGGCTTTGGAAGATAGGACTTCCAGTGCCACGTACTATATATTCTACAGTTCTTGCTCAGACCAGGAGGAGGGATTTGAGTCATAGCGGGTGTGAGTGGAGCCCTTTCTTCACAATCAGGCCTTACCACATCCTTGGAACGGCGTGGCATGCAAGGGTAGACTCCAGAAAATTAGGGATACTAAAGTGAGTTGTGCATATCATTTCACAATTCTCAATGATTTCGTACCCGGACTCCGGTTCCATCATTCAATCCATGATCCCCATCCCGTGCTCGCCCTTTTTCTCTTCTCCACTTTCACATCGGCAGTCAAACCACATCCGGTCTTCAGGTTTGGGCGGTCTTGGCGAACAGCTTCCCGCCGCCCGAAGCCATCGATGCCTTGGGCGTGTGCCTCGAAGGGGTCACAGGGCCACGTGGCTCCGGCTTCGCGGAAGGACAGCCCTTTCTTTTTCAACATGGGGCTTGTGTTCCAACTCCAGTGAAAGGCATGAGCCCCACAGGGATGACCATGAAATCCGAAGACCAAACAGGGGGTGTTCACTCCAATTCCGTTTCAGGCAGTGTAGCGAAGGAGTTCAGCAATGAGACCCTGGCAATTGAGCTTTTCCATTGGATCCATTTCTCTTTTTCACCAGGAAAGCACCTGTCAGCAGTCCGGGGTGAAACCAAAGGAGTTGAATTGCAACAAAAGCGTGGCAGCTCTCGTCTTGATCACTCATGACTTCTATAAAGGAGATCAAAGGAGTGGAAGGCACTAGAATTTCTCATCCCAAGATGCCACCCGTGCCTTCGGAACCCCAACCGTGGATCCCCAGCACCGCCTAGCGAAGATCGCATTCTGGAAGAATCGATTTCTGAGCTCATTCTTCCTTTGTCTTGGATGCACCATGAGGAACCTAAGAGAAAACATATACTGTATAATAAGTATATTATAAAACATATATTATTATATAATAGGAACCTAAGATAGTTAAACACATATATGTATATATATATACATAAGAAGAACCTAAGAGGGCTATTACATATTACATGATCAAGCATTATATAAACGGGGTGCCCATTCTCTTTCAACAAGTCCTCAGTCCTGTGCTTCAGCGCAGACATCGATTCCGACGTCGGCGCGTTGAAGTTGGTCGGCGTGAGACGCCGACCATGCCTCACCTCAGATGAAGACAACGGAATTTGACATGGTTGAACGTTTTGTTGGCTGATGTTGGCTGAAAGCATGGCATCATGGTGTCCAGTGGTGACCTATAGCATCCTATAGCCCTTTCATGCCCTTTCTATAGTACAATTTGGTGCTGTGATCAACGCAAGAAAGGCTCGGCAGCAAATGTGCTGAACGGGCTGTGCCAGTCCTTGCCAAGTTCCTGGACAGAGACAAGGCGGGGGAACCCCGGACACTTCACGCGGATGCCGCCCAAGTGGCCGTGCAACTGCTGTTCAACATTAAAATAGCTGTATATAATATAGCTGTAATGCTACATATTCAATATGTTTGCGTTCAACGTGTGAGATGATGTCGGAACTCCCTATACATGTCGTGGCTTCTTGTTCTTGTTGCAACCCCCACGGTGACTTGACCAGCGACACTTTGCCATCCTCGATTGTGCCTTCGTTCCAGAATTTGCCCCCAACGTGACATCACATTGAGTTGCATCGGACACGATCATGTCCTGACCATGGAACCTCTGTCGGCGCTGTTGCCGTCCGTCCAGAGAGCTGCAGATACGCAGCAGATATGCTCGAGTCGACTCTAGCTCATGCTAGCTTGTTACCCGGTCACCCGTGGAACCAGGAGGAGTTCCGTCAAAGAGCTGCCGAAGCGCTCCGACAAGCCTTTGTTTCAGCGGACGAGGTGATGCGAAAGTCCGCCTGTGACCCGTGCGGTGATGGTGAATGGAGGTTTCCCGTTAAATTTGGGGTTGATTTTGTTGAATCTGGGAGTCTTTTCTATGGACACATTGGCTTTAGGGTTGCTTTGTGTTTTCCCTAGATGATCTCGGGACACTCCCCCAAACCCGAGGATTCTTTGTGCTTTGTTCGGCGCGGTTCCGAGCCGGCCACTCGCTCCGGCCACTCCTAAGGTGAGCTGCTGCTGGAGGCGTTGGAACCCTTTGGCCGTCAAGATGGACGTGGGCCTCCCCGCCAAGAGGTGGGACCGGATTGGATGGTGACCTGGATGGTGCTGGTGGGTTTCTGCTTTGTACAGAGGTCGGGAGAGACCCGATCTGCTCGGAAGACTTGCCATTGAACACCTCAGATGAAGACTTGGGTGAAGGGAAGGGAGAGAGAGAGAGACCCGTAGACGGTATGACAAATCGTTGCTTTCCATTTGTACATGGTGACATGGTGCGCTCGAGAATCCCAAGGGGCGCAGCTGTGGTTCCTCCCTTTGTTTCGGGGACCCACGAAGGAGGGACAGCAACGCAGCTCTGGACAGGCTCGAGACTCACCGGAAGGACGGACCTTAAGAAACCCACATGTCCATGCACTCCCGAAAAGCAACATAGATCCTGATAGTCCTGGCCCCCTGGAAGAGTGTTTTCCTCTACCAACCAGTGGTTTTCAGTGTCCATCTTGGTCTTCCAGGGTGTAGATCTTCCAACTATGCAAAGTGGTTGCCTTTTCATATGTAGGAATATATATATATATATATATGCAGCCAGAAAGGCAAACAATGGCAAACATGTTGCATAGTTGAAAGATCTATACCCATACACTCCATGAGACTACCATTTTTGCCTACATTGGGGTGATTTGGGGGATCAATTTAGGCATATATTCCATACATGGAGCGTATATGTATAGAGAGGTCTTTTAGCAGGATGAACGTGCCGTTCGAGTCTCCGTGTGTTCCGGGCCTCGTTTCCACCAGGCCTTGCAGGCTTTGGCCTCTTTGGGGCCTGAGAATCTACAAGTGCTGGCACCTTGGTGCTGTGTCGGTGACCCTCCATGACCCCAAAAGGCAATGAAAGTGGACAACCAGGGAACCCCTGAGGAAAGTAAGTAGTGCAAGGAACTCTCATTCCACATCCTTTTGAGAGTGTCTGAACCGGGTCGGGACGAGCACAGAAGTTCCTGCCCTTGGAGCAAATGAGCACCAACTTTCACACCAGCTAGCTGGGTGCTTCACGGATGTTTCAGCAGCCTTTGTTTGGGTGAGAAAACAAGAGCTCGGTTTAAGGAGCGATTATTCAAGGTCTTTTGCCATCCTTCGGTGTCTTTTGCTGAGAACTCTGGAATATTGGTCTTATGCAGGTGAGGTTTTCTATTTTGGGGCCCTGAACAGCCAGGACACCGTGTTGATATGTTGTTTCTTCCCTGCTCCTGCATGTTTAGGGGGCCCTCACCCACGTCTTTCACGTCTTTCTCTTTCCAGAGTGGTCAGCTCAGCCGAGAGTGTAGAGAGTTTGTGGACTGACGTAGAGACATTGGCCTTTGCCTCACGTTTCACTACATGAGGACATAGCCCCTCAGTTCGTTAAGGGCTTCTGAATTGGCTCTACTCCACCAAAGTCTATATATTTCAAAACTCAACGTTTGGAAGATTTGAAGCACGATTTTCCACACCAACCAGAGACTTGCGCGTTCCATGTCAGCCGTATACTTGGACTTTGTGATTTCATGTTTGAACCCCCGAAGGGGGCACTGAGTCTCTCTACCCTCCAGCTGTTTTTTTCTGCTCTGATGTCAAAGGCAACACAACCCCCAGAAGCTCATCAACTCTTAGCTCCTCATTGCAAAAATGACCAACTACCGGTCCTCCCGGTCGGGTTAAAGGGAATGCTATTGGACGGAACCTTGGCCTCTATAATTACCCATCAGTCAGTGCTCATGTTCCACTCATTGGAACTTGCAGTGCACAGATTTCTCCTATGGCTCCGAAGCTTTGGGTCAACTGAAACAACTGAAATAGTCTCCATTCCCTGTGGAACCTGCCATGTGCGTGTAAGGAGAGGATCATCTCTGCCTTGAACACCAGCAACCTGCTCCAAATCATCGACGAAACACGATCCAATCCGGGACGTTTGGGTCGTAGGTCGCGGCTGGTCTTCCTGCCTTTTGGAAGTGTGAGTGCTTTGTCATTCGGAAGTTCGGGGGCGCGGACGCCAGAAATATCTTTGTGGGAACAGTTGGACAGGTTTATGGGAGGACTTTCCACCTTTTGCCATATCCTACATGATTTTCCCCACTCTGCTTCACCCGCTTTTACGCCTCAAACCCGCCTCGCTGCGTCTACACCGGCCAAACAAAGGACCTCGCCGAACACCCGAACAACCTTGCCCCAGGTTTTCGGCCAGGCGACCGCGGGGAGGCGCTGGAGCATTTCAAGCGCTTGGAGTCCAACTTCGAGCCTCGGCGCGGGTTGGAGCACCAGGTCCGTTCTTTCGGTGGGTTTTGTTTTTTTAGACCAGGGCGGCTGGCTGCTTTTTGGGAGTCTGGGTTCGGTGAAGCAGGTTCAAGAAGGCTTCGGAGGTCCAAGACGTCGAATTCCAACCATTGGAATCCAAGAGTTGGAACAGTGACGGCTTACTCCAACCATGCTGCAGTTGCAGGTGTTTGCCGTCGCCGTCACTTACGCCAAGGGTCGCCATAGCAGGAAGAACGCGCCGCTCGCGAACGACGTGCTGCGGCCCCGACTCCGGTGCTGTTCTCAGGAGGCGAATGAAGTGATGGAGCGTGACTGGGCTGTTTGGTGGACGCGTGGGGGCAGATCGAAATCGTATGATGGATCGATTGAAACCGGTGACAGGTGAGAGACTCCAATCTGGGGGATTGATTCTGATATTGGGCTGGGCGAGTGGGAAGCAGTTTGTCAGACATCCTCCATGTGCATTGATATGCCTTTCTCGGTATGGCAAGCAGGCCGCCAAGATGCGAAGTTCAGGATCAAAGAGCCAACAAGTCGGAAGAGTTGTGCAACCAGACCTGGTAGGACATCAAGGCATCAAGATTGACAGTCAAGCACATCACTGAAGCTTAATGGCGCCATGATCCATGGTGATTGGCATCCTCCAAGCCAGCTGAAACCACGGGATCGGTTAAAAGAGACACCAAGCAAACCAGGACTCTGAATTCTGAGTCCCCAAATTCAGCCCCTGATAGGGGACATTTGCCGGGAATGTGAATGCGTTTTCCGATCGTGGCAGTCGCGAGTCCCTTCCACCTGGTCCCATAGAAGCCCAATTTCGGACTTAACAGAGAGGTTTTCGGACCATTCCTGGCAGAGACAAATGTCAACAAGCAATGAGACCGCCCAAGGCCATCAAGGCCCAAGGATGTTCAACTCCTTAAGCCACGACGGTGAAACGGGCCACCCGATCCACCTGAAAACGGCGTTCAGAACTCTTGGAACCCCGGGGGAGGGAGGGTAGTGACCGGGTAGTGGGTTCCATCCGATTTGTCCTGGTATGATAGTTCCGTTTTTGGGAAAACAACTCGCTCTTCCAGTTTGGTCAGTTAGGGGTGCATATATCTTTTTGCCGCACCTGCAAGTCGTGTTTGACACAACTCCCGAAGAGGAGATACCGGCTGTCAGTTGGACTCATTCCGTCCAAAACTTCAGTGGAAGATGATGAAAAGTGCATGGTTTTCTAAGTACATTTGCCAAGAGTCCCTTGTAAACTAAGTTAAAGAGTGGGACTAAGCCACTCCCGAGATCCCCACACTTTGTTGACCTCCAAAAAAAGGCCCCCCACCGGATTGGTCGATCGTCACCGGGATCGCACCGGACTCCATGGACACTCCCCCCGAGCAGACCCGAAGAGTTCCCAATTGCCATTGGGGATGGGAAGAACGCGCTATTAATTTACTATGTATATATGTATACCTAGGATCATCCTGTTTGGGTGTCCAATAGACTACCCTACCCTACTTACAGGTCTCCAGACAGGGCACCCGTTGCAAGTGCGCCGTCTCTCTATGAGTTCGTTGGCGTCCCACGATCGAAGATCGAAGGTTCGAAGGGCGACACCCGAAAGATCCACAGGACCCTTCTTCTCAGGTTCGCTTCGACGCCTCCAAGACTGCCTACCTTCTAAGAGTCTCCCTGCTCACAGTACCTCAGCTTCGGTCTGTGGATAGGGACAGACGGATCCTGGGTGGTTTCTGAGGCCTGGAAGGCGCGATGTTCCCCGTGCACGAACACGTCCGAAGCCTAGGACTGAAGCGGTTTTCCACCGTCCGTGCCGGTGGTTCCTGATGTGTCGGTGGTGCTAGAATTTGGGGTTTGGATATCTTTGGTGTCTGTGAGTGTGTGACTTGGTGAGGGATTGGAACACCATTGCTTTGGTATATACCTTTCCAGACAACTGTCCAGTCCTGCCCTGTCTTTAGCGGTAACACTGAGATGGGGTAAAAGTCACATCAAAACCCTCTGGGACAACGGAGCTGATATGTTTGCCTTGATGCTGCACGTGGCTCAATGAAAAGGATTTAAGATGCAACACACCACTTGTCAGCACGATGAAAGGGTACGCTCCCTTAAAGGGGTGAAGTTCACATGACTGCCTATGAATGAAGGCAGAAGTAGCTCACACCAGTGCTCCGGAGTTCGTGGCTGCATTCCTGGCAGAACAGGACAAAATATGCGCGTCTTCATTGGCCAGTGCCTGGACCAGTAGTGTGCCCTTGATGTTTTTTTGCTGACCATGGTTGATGATCCATGGTGACCCCGTTTGACAGGTTGTTTTCAAGGAGTTCTTCCCGAGTTTTTTTTGTGTGTGCGGCATGACCTCCAATTAAAGCAGAGTTTTTGAGGGTCATTGGAGGGCCTATAACCCTTTTCTTTCTGAATCTCAAGTGCTCTCCAAGTGCCCCAAGCAGCCTTTTGACTGTCCAGTCTACTCGTCTGGAGGAGCCCTCTTGGAGGCCTTTGCCGTTTGCAGCCGCCGAAATTACATCAGTGCCACTGGGAGCTGTTACTCCGCGCGGTTGCTGCGAGCCGAGACCCAACGTGGTGAAATTTCAGCCCACCACGTGGCCACATGCGGATTGAACATGGCATAATATGACAAAATGAGAACATCACCACGCCGCAGTGATGTTCTCATCCACCAACTCAGTTTTTTTTTTGATGATGTTGTACCAAGTCATCTCCAAACACCAAACATCAAAACATGTCCAAACCGAAAATCCTTTGCTTGACTATAGTCATTTCAGCAATGTAGGTGTGTAGCCAGTTTTCAGTATGACAACATATTATTGTTGTTCTCGCAAGCCGGTCACGGCTCCAGTCGGTAGTTGGAAAACTGGCCGTTGCGCCTTTTCAGTGGTAGCGGAGCCCCGAATACCGGGGCGGTAGGTTCCTTGCTAGGTCCGTAGCTTGAGCCTTGGGATGGCGACCGACGGAGCTGTGGCTGATGGCGCGGCAGCGGATGAGGCGGCGGCTGATGAGGCAGCGGCTGCAATCAGTGCTGGTGGAGGAATGGAGCCCCCCCTCGCTCCAGAAACGACCGAGCTTCCGATGCCCACGTTCTTTCATCGACATCGCAGAGGATTGCATCGGACGGCTCGGATGGCAAGTCAGCCCTTGGCAGACTGGAGGTCGGCGAGTGACGGAGGGGGCTCGGGGTCAGCACTTTCGAGGTCTTCGAGCCGTGCCAGTGAGGACCCCTGGCTATGGAGGGACTCATGGATGACGCCTCAACCCCGACAAGACCAGAGGTACGCCAACTGGTCCTCTTCCGAGGACTCGTCAAGGGCTTCGCGGACGGAATCGTCGGAGGGCAGTTGGCACAGAGTGGAACGACCGGTTCAAGAACGACATGTCTACTGGGCCGATGAGGTGTGGAACCGGTCGGGCTGGATGGATTCGGGGTGGGATGACTCGTCTTCAAGTGATTGGAGTGGGAGGTCCCAGGACTGGGGATGGACTGGACAGAATCACAATTGGGAGACCGATTCAAGCCAGTCAGAACGGTCTTGGAAGAGCGAAGAGTCATCCACCTCGTGGAGGTCTGCACAGAGTGAACAGAGGCAGACACTACGTGCTGGTCGGGATCGAGGTGATCAGGCGGCGGAACTATATCCTGGCCGCGGTGAAGGTGTTGGAGTATATGCAGGTGACTGGGGGACTTCATCAGTGGGACTACCTGTTCAACGAGCCGCAGGTCTTACCGTACCTCCTGGGCAACCTTCGTCTGAGCAGGAGAGTGACCCTGAAGGCAATGGACAACTTCCGTCTCCAATGTCACCGGCAGCCCACATGACTGAGGCTTGGAATAAGCCCTCGGGGAACATCCCTTCAGGACAACCCTCGGTGGCATGAGGATCGGGTGCCACTTCCAAGGAAGGTGCAACCAGAGAGAATGTGGCAACCGGCAAGATCTCCACCACATACCCGCCAATATTCTATGCTCGACCAGGTGAGTCATGGGAGCAATACTGGCGGACGGTGACGTTTTGGTTGGCATCCGAAGGGAAGTCTCTTCCCATCGAGATGAGGGGGCCGAGGCTTATGCAACAGCTACGTGAACGAGCCGGCAAGATCGTTCAGCACCTCACGGTCGAGCAGGTCACCTCCTCAGAAGGTGTTGAACTGATCAAGCAAGAGATGGAGCGATCTCCAATCATCAGGCTCCTCGACAACAAGAAGATCGACAAACGGCGGCAAAAGTTCATGAAGCTTGCCCGCCTGCCGAACGAGAGCATCGAGAGTTTCATCAACCGGGCGGAGATTTATCGAAGAGAGAATGAGACTTCTCCGGCCTATCGGGTTGGCTCCTGTTTTTATGTTGGCCACCTTTTGGATTCCGCCAAGTTGACCCGCAAGGATCTTGCATTGCTCAAGGCAGCCTGTGGTGGTGATGTCGAGGATGAGAATAAGGTGATATCGGCCCTGTTGGAGCTGGCCGAACAGTTTGAAGGAGCTGCTCAATGCCCCATTGGTCGGGGGGAGCCTCAATTGGACAATGAGGATCAGTATCTCATACAAAAACCCGGCTCCAGCTCTTCTACTCCGACTACATCATCGGAGCCTTCTGCAGCACGCCGCCGGTTCTTTCCACGGGGCCGGGGTGGCGGTCGTTTTCCTCGGCGTCGCTTTCGAGATGCTTTGATGGCGATTGTGGAGGAAGATGACGAGGAGGCCTTGCCGGATGAGCTCCTGGAGATGCTGGGTGAAGACTCCCTGGAAGAGGATGAGGAGAAGAACGAGTTGCAGCAGGACATGACGGAGTTTGCTGCTGCCCCCCATGAGGCCTTTGTGACCAACCAACCGGAGTCATCAACGGGGACGTCCCCTTTGGCTGAGATCTATGCCCAGGAGTATAAGGCCCGGAACCGGGTCAGAGAGATCAAGAAGATGAGGCAGTACTTCCAGAAGGAGTCGCCGGGAGGCCCGACAGCCGCTCGAAACGAGCATGTCAAGAAGTGGGTCGCTGAGCAGCAGAAGAAGGAGCCATGTTTCATATGCCACCAACTTGGCCATTGGAGCCAAGAATGTCCGTACCGGAAGAAGGTACATTCGGCCAACGTGACTTTTCCCCTGTCACGACCTCAACAAGAGGATTGGGCCCTTTTGGAGTCTCTCGCGGCCGCTGGCGTGTACATGGTGCGAGACGGGCAGGATGAGTCCACTCTTCCCCATCAAGTGTTTTGGGCTTTGGATGAACTGGATGGGAAGGACCATACTAAGATGATTGTGGACTTGGGGTGTATGAGAACGGTGGCGGGCACTACCTGGGTGAACCGAGTGGTGCAGAAGTGGAAACGATTGAAGCGGTACCTCAAGGTGGTCCCTGAAGGTGAGAAGTTCCGTTTTGGAGATGGACAAGTGGTGGACAGTCAGTTTGCGGTGATTTTGGAGGTCGACATTGCGGGCATACAAGCCTTGTTGAGGATATCGGTGGTGCATGGTAACTGTCCCCCTTTGTTGTCCAAACCGGTCTGTTCGGAGCTGGGACTCGTTATCGACACGGCCTCGCACTCGATCACTTCTAGACGATATGGAGTGAAGCAGTTTGGTTTAGAACAATCCAAAGGAGGCCACTATGTCATACCGATTGATGAAGCAGGTATCGAAGGCCGGTTCTCCATCGATCCTGATTTTGAGTGGAATGAGGACAAGGAGATTTGTGTGCTCGCCGGGGCGATTGGTTCAGCAATTCGGGACGGGACGTGTGACGGCCCGGACGCTAGTGACTGTCTTGCCCCGGCGACCCATGGCCCGGAGAGGGAGCGGCAAACCGGAGGTCTACGAGTTGTCGCAGAACGAATGGGAGACCGTTGGCGATGGCCTGGAGGAAGAAGAGGACGGGCCCGAGCAGATGGAGGCCGAACCGGAATTGGAGGTGAGGACCCCGCTTCGATCAGTTCGCAGGAGCGCAATCTCCAAGATGGTCAAGAAGCCTACGTCGCAGAGTCCACCGGGCAAGAGATCAGGGAGGACCGCAGCTCGAGCAGAGGTATCACCGGCGAAGATGAAGGGGATGGCTGCCGCGTCATCGAGCGAGCAGATGGACATGGGCAGGATGCAAGCCATGTTCGCCCAGATGCAACAATGGATGATGCAGCAGAAATCGTCGCTGGAGGACGAGGATCCGGTGGTCGACGAGAAGCCTTCCAGGCGAGGGCGAAGCAAAGAGCCCATGCCACAGTCGGAGAAGGTCAAGAAGACGCCGCGGGCAGTTCGGGCGGCGGCCCTGACGGGCGACGAGGCTCCGTTCCCGTCGCTGTCGACTCAGTTCTCAGCGGATCCCACCATGAACCTCATGCTGAGCCTCAAGTCCCAGACGCTGGTGTTCAAGTGGAAGCTCATCTTGCTGCTGCTGCGAGTGAAGGGTGCAGTGGAGGCGGACCCCAAGAAGAAATGGAGGCGCAATCCACGATGGGTCATGAAGATGCACGGCAACCACATCGCGTCACTTTGGGGTCACCTCGGGTCAGCGCGCCAGCTGTGCTACTCCCCCAAGGTGGCCTGGCTCGGACAGTAGAGGAGACGCATAGTGGTGGCGGCGGCTATGAGCTGGCGAATGACCCGGTGTCTGAAGAGGAGGATGCTGGGGCGGCCTTCGTGACGGCGAATGACCCACCCGAGGAGTATAACATGACCATGGTGGATGACGATGAGACGGGTGAGTTTGGTCGGGCATTGAATGATGAACTTCGAAGTCCAGTCACTTCGGCAGCTGCACCCTCATTTCGAAAGCCCCTCAACCGACGGCAGACGAGGACGATTCAACAAGGAGTGCAACGGGCCCTGCAGACTCACAACAAGATGTTTGATGTCTTGGACGCAAAGGTCAACATGCAGGAATGCTGGACACTTCTCGAAGTCTTTGCAGGGCGAGCCCGATTGTCCGACTTGGCCCGACGTCGGGGGAAATGCTGGCGAGTGCTTCCTCCTCAAGATGTCTTGTATGGTTTGGACCTCCTCCAGGAAGGCGAAATGCAGCTCTTGAAGGATGTCATTCGCACCCAACAGCCGGATGTGATCACATTGGCCCCACCGTGTGGCCCTTGGTCCTCCTGGCAGAGGATGCGTAAACGCAAACATGTCCTCCGAGAGCTTCGTCGGCAACATCTGCCCTTTTGGGAGTTCGTTTGCTGGTGCTGGGACTTTCAAAATTCCACAGGGGGCTTGGTGGTGTTGGAACAACCTTCTTCATCAGATGCACTGCGGCTGCCCATCATGTCTCGTCGACAACAAGTTCATCAAAAGGTGGTACACTTGTGTCAACTGGGCCTCAAGGATCGGATATCAGGGCAACCCCATAAGAAGCCAACAGCAGTGCAGATGAACCACCCGGCCTTGGAGACGGCGATGTTCCCAGAGAAGATCTGTGATTGCCAACCGGGAGCCCATCAACCCATTGAAGGGACTGTGAGGATTCGAGATCCTATAGAAGGAACTTTGAAGTCGGTGAGGCGATCTACGTTGGCAGCGGAATGGACGGAGCCGTTCTGCAGCTGGCTACTCAACGGCCTTGAGGCCTTGCGAGAAGAGGGAACCGACCATGTGTTGGACTTGGAACAGCCCACACCCGCGTCTCAGATGTGGGACACAGTGCCCGTGGAGGTGGAGAAGTCAGCTGAGGGGCAGATTAGGCAGCAGTTGGCTGCGACAGATGGCCTGCACAAGTACGACTACATCACCTTCCTGGGCAGCTCAGGTGCTTTGCCTCGGAAGATGAGATCGACTTTGGCCCACCTTCATGTCGCTCTTGGCCATATTGGGAACGACAAGCTCGCTCGCATGATGTCCCAAAATGGTGCCAAGCGGGTTGTCCTGGAAGCAATAAAACAGTTGGATTGTCAGGTGTGTAAAAGGGTGACGGCACCACACGTCACGCCAAAGGCTGCATTCGCCCGGCCGATGTCCTTCAATGTCAGATTGGTGACGGACACCTTCTTTGTGTGGGACGCCAAGCTGCGCAAGTTCGCGGTCACCCATGTGATGGATGCTTTCTCTTTGTATCAGGTGGCCATTGTCAATGACGACGCCACGGCAGAGACGACCGTCACGCTGCTGCGGGATCACTGGTTCCGCATGTTTGGACCTCCTCAAGTTTTGATGAGTGATCAAGGCCCCGAGTATCAAGGACAACTGGAGGGACTTCTCCGAACCTTCTCCGTGTTCCACGACTTGGTCCCTGCCAGTGCGAAATGGAGGATGGGGCTGGCTGAACGGCATGGGGCGATCCTCAAGCTGCTGTTGATGAGGGTCATCAAGGAGAAGACGATCTTGGGACTGGAGGAGCTTCGGACAGCCGTGGTGGCGGCAACGTGTGCTCGCAACAGCCAGGCCCGGGTGGCTGGGTACTCTCCGACCCAATTGATCTTTGGAAAGGAGGTCAACATCCCGGGAAACTTGATGGAGGCGATCGCCGGGCAGATGCAGTTCCAGGTGCAGCCGGCTCAGACGATGGATGAGGCACATTACCGTGCTTGTGCCATTCGGAAAGCGGCATCAGACGCCTATCAATGGCTTGAAGCAAGTGACGCCTTGAAGAGAGCTGCCGGTTCAAGGGCACGGATACCGAAGATGGAATTGCTGGCCGAAGGAGCACAGATCATGTTTTATGAGCCGCCAGCCAACCGACGTGGTCTTGCTCGACGTCTACAAGATCATGTCTCATGGGTTGGCCCGGCAGTGGTGGTGGCGGTGGAGCGCCTCGATGGAGCGATTAAGCGTGTGTGGCTCCGTTATCGGCATAAACTCAAAGGCCTCCCTCTCGAGTATGTCAGGATGGCGACCGTGGACGAGATGGAGGCGACCAAGGTGACGAAGGAGGCCCTACAGGATCTGGCGAAGCAGTTGAGCTCAGGTCGAGTGAATGCCGACATCCTGGAGGATGAGCCGCCAGAACAACCACCGGAATATCAACCTGATGGTCGGTATCCACAGATGGAGTTCAGTGATGAAGAAGACCCACCTGAAGTTCCGGTCGGACCGGAGGAGTTGAGGCGGGCAACATCGGTTTTGGATGATGTGCCCATGTCCGTCGCCCAAGGTGTCCAAAGTGGTCGTGGTCGACCATCGGGTCATGAACGGTCGACGCGCCGGAGGGTGGGTCCGAATCCAATGGAGGCTTCATCTATCCGGGCGACAGTGGCATCATCTTCAGCAGACGACCCGGCGTTGAGGACGGTGAGGCAAAAGAGGGATTTCTACGAGGAGGCGTTCAAGACCACCCAGGAACATCTCAAGAAGATGAAGAAGAAGCTTGAACCTCAGTCTACCCTCATTGCCAAGCCGGTAGTGGTTGCTCCGGAGGCGGAAGAGTCTGAGCAGAGTGGAGAGATGGATGATGCACTGGTGAGTTCGGAGTCGGTGGATACCAATGTGACTTCGGTTGACTCACCATTCATCGACGTTGATTTGTTCACCCTGCCTTCGGTGACAGATGACACCGGTCAGCAGCATGAAGTCCCTAGCCAGATGTTCGTGACCGATATGCTTCTGGAGAGTGTCCCGCTGGAACGGCCATTTGACGTGCTGGAGGCCAGAAGCAGGACCCCTCGAGGCTTTAGTCAGGTGGGAATCAGACGGCATCCTACTCCGTCGACGAGGGCAAAGGTGACTTCTACAAAATGGCGCCAGCTGGGCGACGTTCCTGGAAGACTTCGACGGCCCCTGACCCAAGCAGAGTTGGTGGAGGCCTATCACAAGGGTGGATTCGATGATTTCTACATCACCCGAAGTCCTCAAGGAGATTATTGGTTGCACTCTCCATTGCAGCGAGAACTGTGGAGAGTACATATTCACCCTCGACGCCGCATGTTTGTTCCTGGCACCGTTCCAGATGAAGATCATCCACAGGATGCTGAACCTCTACCTGCGGGAGTTCGAGGACTACATGGACTTCGGACTACGCAAGTGGGATACTTGGCTCCTTCCAACACCAAAGACTACATCCTGGACAACATCTACTGGAAGGGCTGGAACACTGCCTTGGACTTGGGTCGCCAATGGAGGGGTGTGACCCGTTTTCTGACCTTGGATCCCATTCCGGACCATCCGGTGCTGGCAACATGGATGCAAGGCCGTGCCTTCGTGGAGGATTTGTGGAGACACGGACAGAGTACCTCACGGGCCTTTCGTGGACTGCAAGAGTCGGCTTCTGACTCCTCGACCACTACGGAGTACGTGGCGTTAGCACTGGAGGTGTTGGCCACCTTTGAGGTTCTTGAGGGCAACAACCCGCTGGTCCACCCTGAACCACATCCACACTGGCGGGGGCATCAAGAGTTGGCGGAAGATGATCCATCACACACCTCTTTGGTGGACATTCCAAGGCCACCTACTGGGAAGATCCGGCTTGAACTTCAATGGTCCCAGCTAAGTCCGGCATGGCAGAGGGCATTTGAGGATCCCATCAAGGACGCCCTGGACATATACTTCAAACACGATGCCCTGACCCATGTCATGCCGGATGAGAAGGTCCTGGATGAAGAAGTGCTTCCTAGCAGGTTCGTGCTCGTTAACAAAGCGGACCCGAAGAATCAGCAGCCGGAGGACTCGGACTTGGAGGAGGCCAAATTAAAGGCAAGACTGGTCATCGCCGGGCACAAAGATCAGCGTGCGGGTGACTTTGAGACTCAGGCTCCTACAGCTTCTCTCTTGTCGCACAATTTTCTGTGCTTTGTCGCTGCCCAATACAAGTGGCGCATGTTTTTTGCTGACATTTCAGCGGCCTTTTTGCAGGGAGATTATCTTCCCGAGGGCCGAAGGGTCTTCATCCGGTCGCCCAAGAACTACCCGATGTTTGTCCGTGAGTTCCTCATGACCAAGATACCTCCGGGAGCCAGGACCGACCTGTTCCGAATGAAGAAGGCTGGATTCGGTTTGGCAGAAAGTCCGAGGCTGTGGTACCAGAGGTTTAAGCGGGACATCATGAGCATCGGCGGCCGTGAGCTAGCACTAGCGCCTGGGGTGTTCTCGTTCTGTGGTCCTGATGGTCAGATCTGGGCCCTCTTGGCGGTGCATGTTGATGATGTGAGGTTAGTATGCAGTCCACGGGCCGAAGAAGATTTGTGGCCGAGTCTGAAAAGGCTCTTCACCTTCGGTGATTGGACCCACCCCAAAGACTTTGTGAAGTTCTGTGGCCGCTATGAGAAGCAGACGGAGGACTTCTCGGTGGTGATCCAGATGGATGAGTATGGCACCAAGATCAAAGAACCTCCTGTTCGTGCTTCCGGCCAGACATTGGAACCTCTCACTCCGAATGAGAAGTCCTGGATTGGCACTATCATTGGACAAGTGAGCTGGCTAGCACGACAAGTTCGAGGAGATCTGCTCTTTGGATGCTCCCGGATTCAACAGCTCGCGGGGGTTGGGGATGCCTCCGCATTGGCTGAGTTGAAGATTTTGGTTGATCGAGCCCGCGTTCCACGACGGCAAGTGTTTCGGCATCTGGGCTGCGACCTTGAGATGATGGTTGTGCTGGGTGTGTCGGATGCCTCATTCAGTGGCATGCCCCGTGGAAGGTCGCAAGGCGGCTCAGTTCTTCTTGTCGCCAACCCGGCGGTCCTGGAGGGAGATGCTCGAGTGAATGTCCTCACGTTCCACTCGTCGCTGCTCAAACGAGTGGTTCGATCTTCGTTGGCTGCAGAGATCAGTCAGGCAGCCACGGTGATGGAAGAGGCAGACTTCCTTCGAGCTTTGATGGCCGAGGCATTGGATCCTGCCTTCCAGCTGCGACATTGGATGGCGGCGGTGGCGAAGTGGCGCCAGATCGCAGTTCTGGATTCGAGGACGGGATACGATCTCCTCAATGGCACCTCCCTAGGTGAAGACAAGAGGTTGGCGATTGACGTCGCTAGCATGCGGCAAGCATTGCAGGAAGATGGGGCCGCACGAGCCGTCCGTTGGGTACCAGGAGAAGAGATCTTGGCTGACGACCTGACTAAGCTGATCGGGAACGGTCGGCTCATGGACGTGCTCGAGGGTGGCTCGTGGGCGCTGAAGGACACTGAAGCTGCGAAGCAGCTGCGGGCTGACGCCGCCATCCGGAAGAAGGCTTACCGGCAGCGGCGGAACGCCCGTTGAGCACAGGCTCCAAAGGGGGCTTGTGTTGTTCTCGCAAGCCGGTCACGGCTCCAGTCGGTAGTTGGAAAACTGGCCGTTGCGCCTTTTCAGTATTATGAGATATTATGAGCTGCTGTTTGTTGCCATGATTGATCCCGTCACCTGTTAGACATCTCCACCAAACTCCAACTCCGACCCTTAAACCCCACATGCACCGTCCGTGTCCTTCCGAACCGTCACATCGGCCGTTCTCCGAGGCCCTCCGATGCCTCCTTCGCCACCTCGAGCCGAAGGACCTCGCACTCAGCGCGGCCGCGGCCGGCGCGGCCAAGCGGGCGCAGAAGGGCGAAGAGGGCGCGGTGGACGGCGTGGCGGAGACGGAAGTGAAGCTGGTGGCCGCTTTGAAGGCCGCGACGAGTCTCGGGTCGGCTGAGAGCCGGAGGCCGAGATCCGGCTTGCGATCGCTGGAAGCTGCGACCGAGAGGTTTCAAGCTGTGACACTATCGAGTGTGCTGACCAGGTGTTGGTGATGCACTGAGACGAGTACCGAGATGTTGAAGTTTGGGAATGATTGTGGTTTGGCACGTCATAAAGCAAGATGTTTCATATGTGCGGAGGGAGATCTTGCGAAGGGGGGGGTATTGTGACAAAGCAGCAGTTCCAAGAAAAACACACACTGGCAAGAACTCACAGTGTTTTCGCCACAAGGCCCCACCCTTCAGATTGATGTGGAAATCTCAACAGCTTGGGACATTGCTGATGAATCCATCCACTGGACGCACTGAAGGTCGTTCAAGTTCTGTGGAGTGGAGTTCTTGGAATTCCTTTGAAGTTCACTGATATGTTCCAGAGATGTTCTGGAAAAGCATTGAGATAGTATAAATTATGTTGAATCTATGTTGACTTCCCTTGATGCTTATGGAATCGTAGCTGAAGAATGTTTGGAGAGCTTTGAACATGCCTTCTGCACAGATGCTCGCGGACTTAACAAATCCAGAGACCGGATTATGCAGGACCAGCAGGACCTCAGGTGTTGGTTCTGTGGTTTGCAAGTCCTAGGCAATGGAGACAAACAGGTTTAGCCGCCCCTGGTGTTGGAATCAGTTCTTCAACATGTTCTGATGAATCAACCTGTTTGAAGGATCCGGACACCCACTAAGCATGAAAGTGGGCTAAAGTCTGGTTCTCCAAACTAACCAGGGATCTCCAGCTCAGGAGTCCCAGTTTAAGAGGGAAAAGGCAGATGAATGAACTCGCTAAAGGCTAGCAGCTAGCAATGTGTTTAGTACAGATCCGCTCTGGTTCTCCCAAGTTTCACCTCTGACCTCAGATGAACTGAACCGATGAACAAGTCATCTCCATGTCAGCCAGTGGGTCCGAACCAAACCCCCAAACTTGGGCCCTCGAACCTCCCAGGCCGCCTTGCAGCTGAAGGGTCCCCACGTGGCGCTCGTCGCGCGGCACCTACCAACGCTGGAGCCCGCCAGTTACAGCGAAGCCGTCGCGGCGTTGTGTCAACAGCTCCAGCGCAACGTCGACCACCAGGACCGTCCACGAAGGAAGTGTCGAACACCTCCACCATCCTCCACCAATCGAAAAAACACGGTGTCTGGAGGTGTGAGGGATTCAAGGGATGTTGGACAGAGGACGGTTGTGGTGGAGTTTTGGATGGAGGGAAGGGCAGGTTTTAGCATGTTTTAGTAAGAGTTGATTTTGTGGGGCTTTTGTGGTGCTCGGGCTGCCAAGCAGGCGAGTACGTGGATTGCTTAGTCAGACATTGTCTTGTTGTTCCAGATGAGTCAACTTGGGACTTTGGAATCATCAAATCTTTCACACCCCTTGGTAATGAGAAAGCGGCACTGTCGGCTTTCTCATTGAGCCTTTTGGGATACATACCAATCTTGCCGATATTGATTTGATCCTGCTCAACTTCAAAGTATAAATTCTGGACACAGGGATGCTCAGAGAGCTGGGGCAACCGAAGGCTCTACAACTATTAAAGTCGCCCAATACAACTTCTTAGGAGGGATTTACTTTTTTGGGTGCATGTTCCAGTTCCAGACCTTGGTAACCCTGCATATGTTCACGTTCGCAAACATCAGGCATCATCCTCGCATGCCGCATGCCGCATATGCGCGGGCAGACTTCCCAGGATGCGATTGAAAGCCTATGTGTGGCGAAGGCGAAGGGAAACTGGGCACCCTGTTTGATGCTTTCTGCAGTTGTAGACATTGTTTTATGATTGGCAGTTCTAAGACCTGAGGAAAACCTCCATCCCTTTCGACATGAAAACCTTGGACTACGGTTTTTCGCCGAGAAAACGGGCTGGCCTTAGCGATTGGCCGTTGTGATGGACCCCTAAAGGAAGGCATCACACCAGTGACCTCTACTCTTTCTGGCGGCCAAGCATTCTCATTCAGTTGAAACTTCACCCCAGTTCCAGAAAAAACAACAGAACAGGTAGGGCGCTCAGCAGAAATGGACACACTTCTCCCTCGCCCCTGAGAAATAAACACATCCCTCCACCGGGCACCCCAGCGGATGCTGCACGGCCAGGTTCGGGTTTTCTGTCCGCCCCGCCAGACGCGTTGCACGGCCATCAGGTGGGCGATGAGGACGTGATTCGTGCGCTGTCGAGTTTCTTGCAGAAGGGCAGAGCAGTGTTGCGGAAGGAGGGCCACAGCCGGTTGAAAGCGGCTTGGGAGGAGCTGAACCTTGGCCTGGGAAGAGCTGGTGCCGTGCTGTTTTTGGAGCTTCTTCTCGCAGCCGCAGTGTTGGGGGGACAAGGTGGTGGTTGTTGTTCCACTTTGTCGATGAGCAAACGAACAAGGCTTCGATGGCTTGAGGGACAGCCAAAGAAGAACAGAAACCAGCGCTGTGAGCATGTGTATTTTTCAGTGTTACTTAAAATAATTTAAAGAATTTAAAAGTATTTCCTATGCACGTGAGAATATGTGAATACCAAAGACCTAGAGGAAATACAAAAACATCAAAAATACCAAGGATACCAAGAGGAAATACCAAAAATATCAAAAATACCAAACATACCAGCAAAGTTGAACATTCATTCATTGAAGACGCGCTGCAATAAAAAAAAATCTCATAGAATAGACAGCAGCACTGTAAGCGTATGCATTTCATGTGGCTAAATTTCTCTATTGGACACCCACCAACTCGCGATCGATCCGTCATCGCACCTCAAGGTCCTTCCACATAGGTGGGGTACCCGAGGTCAGGTATGTAACAAAGAAATCTACGTAACAAAACATGCGCACCACCAAAAGGGTGTCCGGACTAAAACACAGTCACACAAACGGGTGAATTACGAATTGCTCAATTCAGAATCTCAGTGAGAAAAAGAAATCGTGGCAAGATCTTTCTTGGTTCGAATGCATTTTTTAACCCTCTGGTAGAGTTTTTGACCGTCAGAAAAAGACATCGAAGTATACGGGGCAACACAGACGGTCCCGAGAGGTGAAATCAAAGGCAGCTCTGGTACAGCACATTGAGTGGATATGTCTGGTGAGCAAGTGACGAATCATTTAAGAGATGCTCCACAAATTTCGATGCATGAGGGAACTCCGGACGTTACGAAATGCCACCCACCAGACGAGAATGATAGCCGAGACGGATAAGTGATGATGCACCGGTCTTTTTGTAACGAGGAACCCAAAAATAGCTGATTTTACTGGAAAATACACACGCTCACAGCTGCCCTCTCAAGAAGAATCGACCCTTTCGATGTCGAAACATGGAAAATCCCGGTACTTCCCAACCGGTCAAACCTCTCAGGAAGCGTGTGACCGTTGACACGGAGGTCCTTGGCCGCGCTTCTGCAGATGTGATGTTTGCACTCTGCAGCCGGCTGGCCGAGACGGGGGAGAAGCTCGGCCTTTCATGGGAGCCACGCGTAAGTTCGATGGTTCTGAAGCTTTTAGAAAAAGAGGATGCTATTTAAAGTTAAAGTATAGTTTAAGTTTCCAGGAGTCACGAAGGGGTGGTGTGGCTCGTCCCATCTGAGTGGATGTGGCACTCCGAAGCTCCATGGATAGCACCGATAGTTTAAGTGTTGCTTTCATGTTGATGTTGTTTTCAGAAATGACACTTGCTGGGCCAATATAACAGGTCCGTGTGTTTAATGCGGAACAACAGGACTTTAAAATTTGTCCTATATGATAGGTGTGTATTTTGAGTTGGTCGAATTCCTTTGTCCAGGGGGTCTTTAAAAGGTCTCCCCATTCAAATACATGCATCTATAATATACTCCCAACAATTTTGCAGGATTTGTGAATGGAAGTCCCATTTGCATCTTATCATCGAAGCCCAGGTGCTCCAAGGTCCAATCGTCCAATCATATCTCCTGACATCTCCTGTATACCGAGGGTGAAACTTGTCCAGTTGTTGAATTGGATTTCCAGTCTACACGCGTCTCCATGTTTGGCGTCTTTGTTTGTTCTGTTTGATCTAAACATCCGCCGCGATCGATCTAGACAGGGCCCAGACGTGTTCCGACATCTCAGATGGAGCGCGTGCAGTTGTCTCCATCATATCGACCCCTCGTTCCTTTTCCCCGACAATCAATTGGTTGATATTGGTTGTCTCTTTTGTGTCCGAAGTGCTTTTCAACGCACGCAGGAGGGTGAGCTGCGGGAAGGACCTGGTGCCTCGTTGGCCTCGTTGGGGGGAAATTGGCGAGACGTGTTGGCTGTGACGATGGAAATGGGTCTATGATCAGACTCTACAAACTCAATCAAAATTCAAGATCCTCCCGAAATGTTAGAAGGACAAACAGATCTAGCTGCTATAGAGCGTATTGTCTTCCGAACATTTTGGAGGGAATGTTGATTGATTGAGCAAACCCTATGGTCTTGGAGGTTTTTTGGTAGATGACCTGGTGTAGATCATAGATCCGTTTTCGTGACTGAGTTTGGACCAATTATATAGTGACTTGGACATGCCTGGAACTGATGGATAGCCTGGATAGTTCAACTGCATCAGACCACATCTTGACCACTCTCAGAAAGACGAACACAAGTCAGCTGGAAGCCTACTCATAGCTAAGTTTTTGGATGTTTGACTTCTCTATTCCGGTCCATGGTTTTTCTCCACGTCCTCCAATAAGTTGGTCCAGCATCTGTCCAGCCGGATGGAGAGAATTCCAGGTCTTGATGTTGCTGCAGCTTCGATTCTGTGACTGGAGAACGGTGCACATGAATCCATTCTCCACATGTCTCCACATGTCTCAGGTTGGGTGATGTTATGGGATCCTTTTGGGGTAGAGGACGCTACGAACAGAGCTTGGATGGATCCATGGGCCTTCGACTGCCCAGGGGGGGGGCGTGAACCGCCCCGGGGCGTTCACGCTGTGAAAACAGCGAGTTTCGCCCAGCAAAGATCCATGTTCTCAATGCGTTGGACATAGATGGGTTGGTCATTCCACTCGGCTTTTTCCTTGTTGTTAACATAATATATATATATATATGCCAATCATACGTTTTAATCACTCATCATCTCACGATTAAGCTGTAAGGGATGAAAACAAGACATCCTCCAATCGACACAATCTTCCAATCGACCCAGCTGTCCCTGCCACAAATGTTCCCTCAGTCCATGGGCTCCAAGACGCGATTTGGTCCGTCGTTTTTGGGGCAGGAGTGTAGTGTATGGGAGGCTCGTCCATGTTTTTTGGGGATCCCCATCACAACCATCGCAGGGATTTGCTTCTGCCCATTTCAGGTTGCCATGGCTGCGGATGGCGTGGAAGAGCGCGCGTTTGCAGCTTTGGCTCACGGTTTCTGCCTCTCGTTGCCAGAGCAGCGCAAGAGCTGTTGCTCGACTCGTTAGCCGTTTCGTTCGGAGCGGAGTCAGACGATTGGAAAAGGCGGGGAAAGTGCCTGGGACGAGATGGTTCTTAAAAGATGATAAAATATGGGAGATGAGTTCTTGAGGATCGTTTTGAACTGCCTGGGGTAAGGGGTGAGGAATTTGTTAGTAAGACGCGGGATTTTTCAGGTGGAAAGGTACCTGGTGCCTTGGAAATTTTAAATATAATCGTATGATATCATATGATCAAAAACCATTCTGCTGAGATGACTAGGAGGATGGCGTGTTGTTTCATTGGTTTCATATTGCAATATCTTGCAATGTGTTTCGGGCTTATAGGTGCTATGACATGGGTGGTTGATGAATTGCAATGTGTTTCGGGCTTATAGGTGCTATGACATGGGTGGTTGGTGAATTTTGGCATAGATCACGGGATCGGAGCAAACAGGGAAACAGGCTGGACAAAGACGATGCCACAAGATGCCCAAACAACGGCCTTCCTGGGACAGGTATTTTTTGGTGCAGGATAAATCTTTCACAGTGGACTGGAAAAATGTCATGCTGTATCTCTCTATGAACTAGGGTTCATACGGTGCATTACGCTACATGACTGTACTTTGGCTGGAAGAAACCGCTTCCATGTTGTGACACATCGATTTTTCAGCTACAGTAGGGACTTGAAGGATGTCGAGCTAGAGCTTGGGAGGTTCTCATGCCATGCAGGAGATCAGGTTGGCTAAGACCACAAAGACCAGCGTTGGGATCATTTGTTCCGGCATACACTGCCTAAACGGAAGTGGTGATGAGCCGTGTTTAGGAGTCCTCTAAGCAGGTGTTTGGGAAGGGGTAGACAGTCTACCTGGTCTACAAAGTAAGTGACTGACAGGATCTAGTGACTCGTGGAAAATCCCTCGAGATTCTCATTGAAACACATCCTTCTCCTTCCAAAAACCCAAACCGTTAACATCCATTAAGTTGTCCAGTGGAAACCGATGACATCCGTCGGGAGATTTGACGTGTTCTCCTGGACAACTTTGGTCAATTGATCGGATTCATCACAGCCAGTGAGCGCCCATATAGTCTTCTTGCTCCACTGGGCAGAAAAGCTCCGAACCACGCAAACCAATAAGCAAACGCTCCGACGACCTCCACGGAAGGAGCTGAAGATGTTGGTTTTTGGGGGGGTCTAACTACCGAGGATGTGGGCCAGGAGCCCTACAAAATATGGCCGTGAACGGTTTAATTGCACCTTCTCACAAAATGCATGCCGTTGTGTTTCTTTTTTTGTTCCGCGCATGAGGCATGAACATCTACAAGCGCATGGCCACTGCACGAAAAGGAGACGAAGACCAGAGGGCGAGGGCCATTCAGGCTGGATCGTCTGCGGAGGTGCGATTTGCGTCTCACCCCAACTCTCCGGATGTGGATCTCTCCCTACACAGAAGAACTTTGGGAGGTCCTTCCACCGAACCTGAGGAGATGGGCCAGGAGCCCGACCGGGTCTATAGAATGCGGAGGTCTATGTACATCTACATGGCATGCCATTCAGAGACCCATTCAGGGACGTGAGGGTACCCTGGATGAAGAAAGCTTTTTTGGCCAATACCTGAACATTGCATTTTACAGAGCGGTCATTTTCAACAAAGGGTCATCTTAAATTCTTAGATCATAGAAGATAATAAATTTGGAATACCATGCAATGCAATATTATCGAGAAGCTGGTTCGGAGCGGCTTATATAAACATGTCAGTGAAGTGATATTGCATTTTACAGTCAAAAACGCTGCCTGGCCCATTCTGACAATGTTCTGCTGGAAATGCATTTGTTGTAGTGAAATCTGTTCCTGCTGCATGTTTGGTGTTCAGTTGTCACGAAGTGGTGGGTCGTGGGAAAGAAATACAAAGAATTGGTGCAACTCCCGCAAAGGTCAAAAAATGCTCTAAAACCTATGAACAAATGCAGACCAGGCATTTTGTAAAAGCTGCAACCCCCTCGGCCATCCACCTACTATGACGTTACCCAATCCTACCCACATTCAGATCATCCAAAGAATTCCAAAACGTTCCACTTTGTGTCTTCTTCTGTTGGATTGCCATTTGCAGTCCTAGCCTCTTCTGGCTTTATACTTATGCAATTGGGATGTCATTTCACATAAAATCAGATATTTCCAGCCACAGAGCTTGATCTTGTCATTTCATAGAGCCACCTGCCAGAATATTGTTTTGGTTGCTTAAGGTTGGTCACCCAAGCCTCAGACCTCACGGATTTGCGTGGTTTGGCGATTTATGGAGAGCTGAGGTTGGACATCTCATTCTATAGAGAGTTTGTCTATATTAAATGCCTCCTAACTGGTCAGTACTCTCTATTGACCAGGTGTCCCACCCCCAGACTTGAATCTGGTTCAGAACGGAGTATGTACAAAAGCAGGAGCGGAAACAATTGATTGGTCTTGTCATGCTTGATTCTTTTCAGACACTTTGCTCTTATGCATCCATGGGGACAAAAACAAAAAGTCAACACCATGATATACTCAAATGGTGTGTTTGAAAGAAGATGAAGGGATTGGCAAAGTAGACGTTTGATTCAAATAGTTTAGTTTTTTCCTGAATGGGTTTGCATCTCCAGGCCGGGATGCGTTTGGCTCATCAACCGTCTATTCTCCGGTGGGTCAACACCAACACCGAGTCACCACCACGCGAATCCCCTGATCTCCCAGCCTGGGTTCATCAGTCATGTTTGACCTGTTGTTCACTCACGGAGTTCACCTTACTCTTCACCGTCTCAGTGGTGTTCCGCATGTGTTCCGCGCCAGGTGCTCTTGAAGGTCGCGGTAGATGAGGACAGTTTCCAGTGGACCAAGGTGCAAATGGACACGCTGGACCGTTTTCCAGGGCCGTGTTCGAAACCTGAAGTGTTGGAGCAAAGATGACCAAGGCATTGCCAACTGCGGTACCTTTGGAGCCATGGCTCCGCCGTTCCAAATGGGGCATGGCAGGTGGAAAAGTCGATGCATTTGCTAGAAGATTCGATCGAAATGAGTCCGTAGGGACGAGGATTACACCGAAGCCTGACCACAGTTGGCCTTCAGACTCTGTAGCCATGGCATCGCTTCTTTCATTTCTTGTTGCTGCACATTCATGGTGCCCTTAGGTTTCACATCGACGGTCGACGGTCACATCTTCCAAACTCTTTTGGAATACATTTTGGCTCCCAGTACCAGCTATGAGCCGGTGTGTTTCTCGTTACCCTGCCAGAATTATTCAAGGCGAAGCAAAAGAGAATTTAACCTACGCAGATGAGTTATGTCAATACCAGTTACATGCTGCGTGCCACCTGTGTTATCCGGCCGGCGGCGTTCGCGAGGTGAGTGCCTTGACCGTGTTGGGGGACTTGCAGAAGGAGGACCTCCAGGAGGAGCGACCGGTGTCAGGTAGCCAGTTGCGACCTTCCGCTTCCCCCGAGCTCGTTACGACACCCAGCTCGTTCGTTGTGCCCCCGGTGTTCCTCACCAAGTCCGGTCCTTCGCCTTTCGGGTGGATCGCGATTGGGCGGCAAACAAGCGGAGCGTTGTTGCGCACACCGACTGATCTTCCTTCGCGCAGGAGGTGGTGGCTGGGCTGTTGAAGCTTTCGGAGTTGACCGACGTGGCGCTGCGCTGTGCGGCCGTGCGATGTTTGAGGCGCTTTCGCGTTTCCAGCGACCACGAACGGAGGGACTGGCAAACGCGGCCACGAAACATGAGACGGAGGAACAAACATGAGTTGGAATCTGGACGGCAGGGAGGCAGCAAAGGCACCGATCATACGACGCATGTTCTTCCGTGTAGGCTTATGCAGCGTGGAAGATGTCAAGTATCTCGTCAAAAAGTGTTTGGTTGCGGGTGCTCACACTCCCTGTGAGCAGGAGCACTCGCAAGCAAATCCTTTTTGGACACTTCTTGCCGAATCATGCGAATCACTTGTCCGAGGCATTTTTGGTGGATCCAACGGCAAGTTTCGTCTACTACATCTGGAACATCTAAAGGGAATGGAGTTTCAAAGTACTGCAAACAACATCATTTATTATTGACATTTATTATACCAGGTCCCTCCAAAGCGTGTCTATTTATAGCCCCTTGGCTGTTAAGGGGTGTCCATTAACCACCCCGACTGGGGGTCCTGGTATAGTAGTGTGTTTCGTCTTCCATGAAAAGCTGCTTACCTCGCTTTCATCCTGCCTTTTCGCTGGCCTTCCCCTATACCCCAGGCCACGCCCTGGTTGGTCGCCGAACGGTCCCAGGCCACGGTCTGAGGCGCAGGTCTTGGCGCTGGAGAAAGCGCTCCAGGAGGGGTGCATCTCGATGCAGCATCGCCCGGAAGGTAGACAGAGAGCGGAACTGGAACAGCTGAATCCTCCCGTCAACGTTTGGGGTCGTGGAGCGATGCCAGACCTGGGGTCAACGACCTGTTGACGAGCCCACTGGGTCCGAAAATCGTCCCAGCCAGGGACGATCGATCAGGGGTCTCCCTACTAAAATGCAAACATCGAAATCCCGTTGTTTGATCAATCACTGGCACGATCAGCCCAGCTCAGCCTGCTAAGCACAGTTCCTGCCAACAAGTCTATCAGAGGCATTCAGAGGCCACCATTTAGTACAATGCCAATAGTCAAGTGTCAAGCTTCGAACTCTGCTCCTATTCTCCGGCTAGGCTGTATACGACCCGCTGTCAACCAGCCCAGGACACCGATGTGTCGGTACGCTTGGCTGCCTTGCAGTCTTTGGGGCAGGACAACAGCTTTCGGGAGGTCTATTTTCGTTGTCTCCAGGAGAGGCTTCTTGTGGCGATGACGACGGGGCAAGTCCGACCGGGGGGAGGCGATTCCGGGTGGCCGTTTGCGACGGGTGGAGCATGTCCAAGCATCCAGGCATTCGAAGTACCAAAGGCATGAGGAGAAACCCGGAGTCTTCGGAATCTCTTGATTGAGATCAAAATGAAGAGCCTTGAGGCTTGAGGACATGCGTTTCTTCTGCATGTTTGGTGGTGCAAAGGACATTGTCATTGTGTTTCTCTTGGTGAAAAGGGCAGTTGACAGAAAGAATGCGTGCTTGCCACGTGGCATTCTCTCAAAGTGGCAGAACCTTTCTCAGTGGATCCGGTTACCACAACTATAGCTGGTAGCCAATGGTTCCACAGACGAAATCCATAGACCTAGACACCCTGGTTCCTGATGATTACTTATTCATACTACTTATTCTATTTTACTCTATATCGTTGCAGCCCACATAGGTCATGAGCGCACAGGGAACGCCCTTTTTTTAAAGTCCACCCAACACAAGAAGTTGGTTGTTGTTCCCCATGCTGATGGATGGCACAGAGGTTGCCATAGAGGTTACTCCATTGTCTGAAGGGGAAGAAACAGAAGTGGTCATGCCGCTTCTTGGAAGTGCTGAAGTACCTCAGAATCCATGGTCGTCAGAGAAGGCAAAAAATGAAGCTATGTTGCCAGCTATGAGTCCTACCTCACTTCCTCCTTCTTTTCAAGATGATGGTGGAGGAGGGCTGATGTCAGGAGGGTTTACACCAAGTCCGCCTCAAGAAGGGCATCTTGGAGGACAGCGCTCCTGGAGGAGAATGCAAGACTTCACAGGGAACGGGGCTATGAAAGGAACATGTTTAGCCAGGGGGGAAGTCAAAGACAGCTTCAAGGACCTTATGGGGCAGTCAGTGGCGATGGGTGGCGTGCATGGGTCGACAAAAAGGAGAAGGAACCTACGTCCTCCATGGTGAAGGATGGGCTTCGGGCACGAAATTGAAGCTACGCGTCCTGAACCTCCGCTGCGGCGCCTCGGATGCCATGATCCAGCTCTATAGATGCGTGTGCTCAACCTGCACATGATTTGCTCCAGGTGGCTGCCATGCTCTTGCCAACGATTTCATTCCTGGATGACTACACCTGGGAAGGAAGTTGGATTGGCGATCCGGAACTAACAGAGTCGGCAGATAGACAGTGGATCCATGTGGATCTTGTATTGCAAACTGTTGCAGATGGTTGTAAGTTATAGCAGCCTCCGGTTGAAAGAGGTTGAGATTCAACGATTGTCTCGTCTCGGGGCGATGAAGCCTACATGGTGAAAACCCATAGTGCCCCCCAGGAAGAAGCTCCTCGAGACGAGGAACCTTCCTATTTTATTGATGATGATCGGACGCATGGAGCTGAGACTTTTCTATGGTGTGCTTCAACGAGCGCGATCATCCTGTCAAGGCCGCGAAAACCAGCGCAGTACATGCTGGAGCCCTGGACGGGGCACACCGCGTTCTTCAAGAAAAAACCTGCCTGAAGGCACTGAAGGCTGAAAGAAAATCTGGTCAGAGTGGTTTTTTGGCTGCTACATCCACGAGGAGTTCTCTTGCACCGGGCACTTTTGGCTCTTGAAAAGGACGAGACCTGTGGGGAATGGTGAGTTTCAACAAAATATGTTCTCAATGTCGGCTGCTTCACAGTTCTTTTGTGCCGGCATCGATGAGGAGTGGCTTGCCCTTTTCCAACTGGAGGGGAAGTCCGGTGGCTTTGAGACACAACAACGTGGTCAAGACAAGCTGAAAGGGGGCTTGAGCTAGATCGATTCTCGTACCGCGACACATACCGCGCAGTCGAGAAACGGTGCATTTCAACCACCGCCACATAATATACAGTGGCCTCGTAGGGGCAGTGCCTGACGGTCTGGCCAGGCCAGGTCCACAATTTCGCCAGGCCCCATCCTCAACCGTTACATGACGGCTCGATAGACTGCAGAGATTCTTGTTTTTTCGGCTCTTCCCGTCCTGAAGCGGAAATAAACTTTTTGGCGCGGAGATGTTGCCGCGAATTTTCCTTTTCAGGAAATTTGAAGTGCTTGAACATATGTTCCAACCTCTCTGTGAATATCATGAACTCAGCAGTGTCAAAGTCGTAGGGTGCGAGATCTTGAGATGTGATACTATGTCCTTGCAGCACGATATGTGGTATGCAATCAGAGGCTATGTTGAAATTTGTGTGCGGCGAAAATTCCCTACTAACTGCGGAAATTCGTACCTGGCGCGGGCTTCCCCTAAATCTGCAAATCCTCCCGGGCAAATCGGACTGGTGCAAAAAGAATTGCCCCTGTTGCTTCTAGGTATGGTTGTTGGTTCATTCAAATAATTCGAAAAAACCTGCACCGTGCATGGCCCGAGTCAGAATGCTGAGCTTCAAACGAAAATGCCAGGACGAGGCGTCTGAGGTGGTGCAAAAGGCCTTGGAACCCATGGAGAATGCGCCAAATGCCGAGGAGAAGCTGCACATCGGCGGCAGGATGTGCCGGGTGGCAGAGATGGTGTGCCAAAGAACATGGGTTGCATATGTTTGCGTGGTTTGTTTTTGTTTGTTTAACTGTGAGGTCCAAGAACCCCTGGAAAACCATGGAGAAGAGTTGTCAAGGACTAAAGTGTTTCGGTCCATGCTGCTGTTCTCACCTTGGCGCCTTTGACCGTTTTGAAGATGGACTCCGCCCATTTATGGTTCAAAGGTGCTCGACCGACCGGTCAAAGGATCTCATGAAGAGGTCTGTTACTGGAGAACCTTTCCCAAAGTCAACTTGGTAGTGAGAACTTGGCAAGGTCCACTGTTTGGTTACACTGTTCAGTTCTGGATGTGGATGGAATACTTGTTTGATATGTTCAGTTATGGCATGTTATGGCCATATACAATATATAGATCATATATATTATAACATTTATATATAAGTAAAACCATGACCCTCCGCAATAGCCTTTGAGAGAAGAGAGTCCCGTTTTGTGCATGTTTCACTGTGTTTCACCATCCTAATGGCGAGCCCTGCTGAATGTGCGACAATTCCAACGGAGCGTCCCAGCTGTTTGAGCGATGATTTGGCGGTTACAATCGGCGCAGCGGATGAAGTTGAGTCCCTGTTTGATTATTCATCAAACAGTTTGGAAGAATGTCTATCAAAGCAAACACAACTTGCAGCTCCTGAGGCCGGTGATGCCATGCCTCCTAATTTTCCAGCTGTGATTGCTTCAACAATATCCAATATGACAGCCGTTCGACCGGAGATCATACGAGCTGCGCCCGCCTATCGTGCGCTGGCGTTCTGTGCTTTGCCTCTTTGGGGCGTTCAGCATGGCAACTTTGTGCACTTTAGCGCTGTCACCGACAGAATTGATGAGTTTTGGAGCCAATCATGGCATGGCCCTAGATGGAAGTTAATTCTAACAATAATTTTCCTCAATAACTCCTTGGCTGCTGCTGTCATTTCTGTAGGAATTGCTGTTGTGCTGGGGGTGCTCTATGCATGCAAAGTGCTGCCGGTCATGTATGAATACAATCCGTCTTTTCAACAGATTCCACGATGCGGCTGGAGCGGGCATGTTGCCTTAATTGTTTACTACGTCACTTTGTTGGCATGGCGGAGGAGAAAACGGATCTTCCTGGATGTGCTATGTATTGATCAAGACGACACAGCAAACAAAACAGCGGCTCTCTTTAGCATGGGTGCGTTTCTCAAGTGTTCAGACGCCCTGCTTGTACTGTGGGATGAAACTTACACCAAGCGTTTGTGGTGTGTTTTCGAGCTTGCAGCCTTTCTAAAGAGTCGGCCTGCTGGCAAAAAAATCAATCTTGTCATCCGACCAACAATAACTGGCCCATGTTTCCTAGGTCTCACCTTCTCTTTGAATGTCATCCTATACACCATCAGCTTCGTGGGAGATAGAGACTTGACGGCCCTCCTGATTTCAACGGCGGCAATCACCTGTTTGGGTCTGTTGTGCAGCATTTCAGCAGCCCGCTCATATTTCCGAAGCATCAATGACTTGAAGAGGGCCTTGAGCACTTTCAGGCTGGAGGATGCATGCTGCTGGTGCTGCGATACCGGGCATCAAGAAAAATCCTTGTGCGACCGGAAGGTGATTGAGCAGTGTGTCATCAACTGGTTTGGTTCCGTCGATGCTTTTGAAGAGCTTGTAAGGCAAGAGGTGCTGGACATCCTTAGAAGTCAGCTTTGGAGGCAAATGTTGAGCTACAAACAATGCGTCTTGGCATTGGTACCCGTCATCATCGCGTCGATTGACATCGTTTTTGCTTTGATCTACAGGGACTCCTACAGCCATGCGGTGGTCGAAGCATTGCGCGGATTGGCCATGTCGCTGGGTGTGGGCCCCATGTTGTTTTTTGTGGGCTTCAAGCTGTCTCAGTGTCTCCACCAACCTTGCTGTTCAAGGCCTCTGGATTTCCTGGTGACTCTCTTCATTGTGGTGGTGATGTGTGGTACACTTGTAGCATCTTTGATGCTTGAGCAGCTCCTTTGGTGGCACCCGATCCCAGACTTCAATCCGCTGGGGGGGCCTACCTTGATCTACGGCTCATGCATCCACACAATTCTTTTTGTTGGCCTCGCGGCTACATGCTTCTGCTGCCGCAGAACAACATTTTGTGTGGACAAAAAGGCTGAAGGCGACGGCAAGAGAAATCAGTGTGTACCACCCGTTTTTGCCCTCATCCTGAGAAATTGTGGAGCTTAGTATAGTCATAGTCCCCCCACCGTGCAGTTTTAGACCTGATTGACCTGAAGTCTTGGGACCCTCCATGTGGCGGGCGAAGGGAGAGGTGTCCACGCTGGGTGCTTTCGTCACCTGCTCTGAAGGACCCGAATGACTACCACGAACCCTGCGGACTGTTCGGATGTTCATGAATATTGGTAGGAAATAGATCGAAACGGTTTCCAACACAGTTTTAGTGGGGATCTACTTTTCTATCTATTTGGGGTCTATATGATTCAAGACAGGTCGTTGGAGACCACTACCTGCCCCCGTCTTTAAGACAATTCCAATTCCTCCAGTTGATGTTCATAAGCCAGTCTGTGCCGAACATCACCCCTCATGTCACCAGGAGCTTGGCCGACACCTACTCCCCCTGCTTCACCATGGCGATTGGCAAGTCCGTGCGGCCGTGGCGCGGCAGTTGGGCAGCCTGGGCGTGGCGTCAGCGTCAGTGCGGGCTGAGGCATTGCGTGCCGCGGTGAGACTTCAGGGGCGGTGTGTGGAGGGTTTGGGCTGCCCAGATTGGGCATTTGGTGCCCCTCTCCCCAAACATGATCATCAAAGATATCACCCAAATACATGGATTTGAGGGATTTTATAGGTACCAGTAAAATGGCCTGCTGTACCAGACCAGCCGTGCCCTTCAGAACCGATATTGAACAAACTTGAACTGGACGGTACACTGCAACAGCCTGGCATACTTGTACGTGGGAAGCTGCTTCCACACGAGAGTGTAGAGGTGTTGTCGAGCAATTGCGCTGTTTTATTTTATATATATATAAATTTGTTGATTGTTTGAATTGAGTTTTATGAAATGTTACATTATTCAGATCCGCTGGTGTCGGTGTGGTAGTCCAGTGTTGTTTATACGCTAAGTGGTCCTGTGTGGTCAAAAGACTTTATCCAACTACGCCACCTTCGCTTTTCAAGGGTTGTTTGGCGCATTTCCTGGCCGGGAAATCACCATGGTGCAGACGCAGATTTGGATCCTGAGTCAACCACATACAGAAGACTAGAGTCTTGGCTTCCTCTAAAGTGTTTTAATCATTGTTTCACCAACTAGAGGAAGAGAATACCAGAGTCCAAACTGCTTCTGAGGTGCCCTCGAAGCAAATGATTTGTGGAAAGAGATGCATCCAGAAGTGTTGAAGTCTCGTGAGAAAGCCCGACAACAGCTGCAATAGCGAACAGGGCGCATAGTCTCGGATGAACCAATCCTACCGACCTTTGAAGCGATGCGTGCGATGCGCGCGACGCAACATATGTTGCACCCGGGGCTACTCAAGACGAGGTCCCAGGTGTTTGTTCAGTCATCAAAGATGTTGGAGCCAAATGTATTGAATGCAATGATATGCAATGAATCAATAGAATCCAATAGTTTTAAATATTGCGCTTATAGTCAAGCCTTGTGATCAATTTTCGAACATCGACGAACTCTCAGACCACAACACCATCACAAGTTGTTCGCAGGTGTATGTCCTCCAGGCATATTACATCTACCCACCCTAGGAAATTAATCCAAGGCCCTGTATACTCAGTTCTGGGATTGGTGGACTGAGCTCCGGCACAGACCAGCAAGGAGCAGGATGTTTGTCGATAGAGGACCAACTTCATCAACAGCTACTAGGAGCAAGGACGCTACTAGGGGCTCCTGACCTTACTACTAGGAACAAGAAGCTACTAGGGGCTTGTGGCATCGCTACTAGGAGCAAGGACGCTACTAGGGGCTCCTGGCCTTACTACTAGGAACAAGAAGCTACTAGGGGCTCCTGGCATCGCTACTAGGAGTAGTGTTGTTTGGACAAGGAACCTCCGATCTTCGCCTAAACATCACTGTGGTGTCCAGCTCTAGGCCTCCCAAAAACTCCCGCTCTATCTATCTATTTTGTCTATCGATTTGGTTCTTTACGTTTTCATCGTATTCTTTGTCTATATTCTTGAATCTATCCATCCGTCCATCCATCCATCTATTTATTTATTTAATTTACCTATGTAATCTCAACTAGATAATGTAAATTAATCTAAGCTATTACCATTTTGTTTAATTTGATCTAATCTAGTTTATCTATTTATTCATTTATAAATATTATATGCGGGTGTGTTTTTAAACAGGGAGACCCCTAATTAAGGGTTTTGGGCTATATTTTTTCTTCTAGGAGGTCTTTGGACGATCTCTTTATTTTAATATATACCATTATATATCTATATTTAAATTTAGTTATATGTATATATATATATATTATATATATATATAGATTTCGCCGATTTTTTTATGGTATGGGTGGGGGGTTGTATTTATTATTAGGTGGAAGGGATTATATATAGGTGGTGATAAGCGAATGAGAAATAATGATTGATTTTGATTGTAAATAAAAATAAATAATGGGATTTTTATATTGGGATGATGGGATATAAATGGCTTATTATATTTTTCTATTAAATATATTTTTATATAACACATATTGTACAATTAATTTCTTAAATATTTTATGAATTTACGATTTATATAATTTATAATGGAAATAATATGTTTATAATTCCGATATATATTATAAATAAATTTGAATTAATTAATTAATTTTATTTTTAATATTTATTTTTGTGGTTATGAAATGGGATGCCTAGGCCTTTTTAACCTTGAGCCAAAGTAAGACGAAAACACTCGTAACGCTTGGTTTTCTACGAGGTGTGGTTGTACACTTTTTGATTTGTGCACTTCGTGAATCACACTCTCCCTGGCTTGATTTAAGCCATCAGGGCTAATCGTCTGACTCGCTTGAGTCGTTACGAACCCTTGAGGTTCCGGAAAAACCGCGACGCGGCTCCCAAGGGTCATTTGACTTGGGTCTCACTGGTATTTGCGTGGATACCCCATCCAAGTTGGCGTCTCTCCATCTTGGTCCTTAACTGGTGGTACTATAGGATCCGGTCCTCTGTAAATTTCTCGATTCGGGGGTGCCAAGTTGCTTTCCTCCACCCTTGAGCGGTCATCTCGTCTAAGGTTGGCGGTTCTTCATCCTCACTGGCCAGAGTTCTCCTCCAGTCAGGCCTTTCTGCACTGCTCGATTCACTCTCCACCGGCTGGTTCTCCCCGCATCATTAGTCAAGTCCCGCATGAACGCCAGCCAATCATCCCGTACATCATCCTCTAGCGTGATTCCATTATGTCCTCCAGGTCCTTGTGCCCAATAGGAAGGGTCATAATCCTAGCCTCGATCCATCTCTTTACTTACCAAGGAAAGCTCTCGGGAATCTCCAGACGTCCCCGATCCTTTAACTTCTCCTCGCCGTTGATGGCCATGAAACCGCTGCCCATAGCCTCCAATGCCACTGCTGCTTGCTCCCTCATTTACCCTCGTGCTGAGTTCCGAACCAGATTCCACTGGATTCGGGTCCTGTCCTTGACGATCTGGTTGGACATCTCGAGGCCCTCCGTCCATCTCTGGACCATGTTCCGCAATGCCCGGCATTGGCGGTGGTCCGGAAGTCAGTGAACCGCTCATCGAGGAAGACGTCCTATCGCCCTGTCCTCTAGTAGTTGATGAACTGGAGGTAGAAGTCAAAGTCCCCGTCGTTGGGTCTGGATGAAGATCCCTGAAGAAGGTATATCCTACCCAGGGGTCCCTCATTGGTGGTTCCGTGTCTCTCCTCCATTCATCATCCCTGATCACCTTTTCCCCATGGCACCACAACACGATAATTCTCCGATCTTGAATGTGGCTACAGTCCATAGGTGTGTGTCGATGAATTGGATGGAATGGTCTCATCCTCTGCTTCAGATGATGTCTGACCCACCATCCCCCTGGAAGTCGGTCCCATCGATCTTGACCCCTCGAAGGCATAGTGAACCTCCTCCACATCCAGGGTCGATCGTAGTCCACAACTGGAACCTCTCCAGTCGTCGTCGACGATGTCCCTCCGAGCCCTGTTGACGATCCCTCCCTCAGAGCAGCCAATCGTGCCCTCTTCGAGTTGCCGCCATGGCTCACATCTACCGCATAATCCCGGGAGCCCTCAGGGCTAGGTTCACTAATGGGTTCCTCTTCTGACCCATCCTCTCTACTGCAGGTGGGTTCATCTTCCCTCACCTGATCTTGAAGTCCATATGGTGGATCTGCATATTCATCTCTTATCGGCCCAGTGGCTCTCTTCTTAGAATCACAGCCGGCTCTCCAGCTGGTGGCCAAACTAGCTACCATCGCAGCTACGGCTAGGCTCTGAGCAGCCTTGCCCGTGGAACCTGACGGCCGCCAGGCCATCACGCCCGCCAACCCACCTACCAGAGCTGCAATCCTGGCCACTTTGGACCCTAGGCTCTCAGACACAGCTTCCACCACTGGTTTCATTCCCATGGCCGCGAAGAAGTGCTGCCATCTCGCAGCCACTCCGATCGGCTTCGTCAGGAAGTCAGCCACCAAATGCTGACCTGGGATATGGATCACCTTCCAAGCGCCCCACTTCACCCTCTCCCGCAGTGCA